CCAGGTGTGTCTGTCTGTCAGTTTGAATACAACAGGTACTAGTATGTATATACAAACACATGGACCTGTGTGTTTATATGTCTGGCCTGTATTTATCTAAGAGACAACACTCCTGTATAGAAATAAGTACACATGTTTGTGTTGATATGTCGCATTTATTATTTTAGTACTGAGTGATTAATCACGTTCATGTTGTGATAGTTTTCATAGCATTGCACATTGTATGTTTTGAGTGGGCAGTAGGGATGTCAGGGTGGGTGCTAGGGGGGTGTCAGGGTGGGTGCTAGGGGGGCGTCAGGGTGGGGGTGGATGAAGCACCTGGCTATTTTGTACAATTATATTGTCACCTCACCTGCCAAACTGCTGCCATTCAATCTCCACCTGACACAGGTAGCTGAGCTAGGTGTGATTGGAGTGTTATTACACTGGATATGTTACTCTGTACAGAAAGTCTCCACTAAGACAGGTAGGCTGTGATCATTTTTTATGGAATTTTGGTATGAGAAGTTTGAGAAATTTAGAATACCATTGCAATAGTTACTAGTAATGGTATTATATTTAAATAGTAAGCAATATAAATCTCAAGTGATAGCAATATGCATCACAAGTACTAGTACGGTTTAGGAATAAAAAAGAATAGGTAAATGTTTAGATCATTTATAACTTCAAGTGGACTAATCAGAATTATTTTGTATCAGAGTGGACCAAAATATCAGTCTAAAAGCTGAGATATGTTTTAGGATATGTGTGAAGCCAGTCCTAATAACCTCTGAGTGCTATATGGCACTGGGGGGTCTTGTACAGGTGACTGCAGGTGACCACTGACCCCCTGCTGTTATCACACCAATTAGAGGCAGCCTACTTTCAATTAAGGCAGACACATTAAGGGAGATTACAATGGTCATTAGTCTATCTGGGTCACATACCTGCATTCCTCAGCCAGGCTTCAGGTCACTTAACGGGCAGTTGGGGAGGATGAAGATGATGGAGAGAAGGCTTTGAGGTGGACTACAGGAGATTTTGGCTGAGAAACTGAGAATTATTTTATTGATTATCTGTAAGTTGGATAGGATAAGGTTGAGATTCCAGAATAAATGAGACAATTATGTTGTAGATTACAGTGAATTCAGAATACAGCTTATCCTGTACAGGTAGGTTGTAAAAGATGACATAGCTTGATGTAATGAAGGAGGTCATTTGTAAGAGGTGTATTGTCTGTTAGCATTTTCATTAGAAAGAAGAGAAGCAGCTCTTGGACAATACAACACATGCTGCACTGGTTGTATGCTACAGGTTTTGATAAAACAGAATCAATGTAGAATAGATATCAGTAGTATATTACTGTCATTCACTGAGGATTGGGATTTTTACTATGTGTGTTTTTGAGTGTAAAACTACATGAAGAGACTGAATGGCTTTAGAAATTGTTACATAAATTTGTAATCACATTTTGTCAGTGTATTGTGTTGTATATAAAGCAAAATTGTAGTAAAATAGTGAGGCAGTATGCTGGAGTTAATAATACTCGAGATTTCCTGTCCATCTCTCTCTCTCTCTCTCTCTCTCCCCCCCCCCCCCCTCTCTGGTAGAAGGTGTAGATACCCTAGTAGTATATATATATTGGTACATCTGCATGCTTGACACAGTTAATGTTTCATGAGTCACTGCTTTTTTCCACAACAGGTGCACTCTAACCCTGCACATACTTCAGTTATACCTGTCTGGGGCCACAGTGTAGACCCACTCAAGGGTGAACATGTACTATCTGCCTGTTGTGAATATTTCATGTTACACAATCAGTGTCTCGGGTAAAAAAAATAAGGGCAGAGTTTTAGCAGTGTTTGCATTTTAGATGAAAAACTAATGCAGAGATTTTTGTAGGTGCTTTAAAGTTTGTTTTTTAATCAGGGGAGGAGGGGGGGGCAGGAAAAATTGTAAAAAAAAAAGAAATTGATGCCTAAAGTCAGCATTCAGTACATAGCAAGAACCAGGATACTGGGATAAGATGCTTGTTAAAGATGGTTCAAATGATTTGTTAACAAGGTGAAAGCCTGGAATCTATTTTTATACACAACCAGTGAGAATCACTTTGGATAAGAATTCCAGGCAGGTGTGAATTTTATTGAGATTCATTGCACATTGATAGTTGTTTATTTCTCTACTTATATTTGTACCAGTAACATCAGTGTATTAAGTATAACTCTCTGAAGGAACCCCCGGAGTTCCCATAGCTGATGTCACCTACAGAATACAAAATACCGTTGACATGACATGTTTTATTATTGTGATTATGATACAGTGTTATGTCAGGCAACAGTTTTGTTTTTTGTTAGCATTTTAGAAATAACTTACCCAGCCTTAAACCATGATTTGTTACAAACACTGAGTACACTGTTGACTACATCAAGGGTTATATGAGATAATGCAGTTTCACTGTGCCAGTAAAGATTGCAAAGACTTAAGGGGAACTTAATTTTTATCATAAGAATAAAATGATCATTTACAGGGGGCCCTATTGTTTCTATGATATGTTGTCCTCTGATGAGGTAAGTTAGACCTTTTTGTGCCTCAAATACTCTTTATCTGAATACAGCTTTGGAAGACAAAACAGCTAGGGGACTACTCCCTCCTAATTCTGTGCTGTTGCACTAACATCCTTATTTCTTGTCAAGTTTCTTCTGCCCTTGTAACTTTGTTTTTTAAGTACCATATTTTATCAGGTCTATATTCTTGATGTCTTTGACAGATACACAAAACTAACCAGTTGGAAATGAAGCCATTTTTGTCAAGCTGACTCTATAAATTGAACAAAAAACGTATTGTGTATCCTTTTCAGTCATTTAGTACCCTATTGTTGGGGAGGAATTTGAGTGAACCATGCCAATTTGCTCCCATTAAAGCTTTGTCTGTCTGTCAGCTTTGTAAAGAGAGGTGTTTTTATGCTTGAAACCAGATATGTTTTGACAGTTTCTTCGTGAAGGTATTCTACCAGCACCCTGAAAATCACAGGGTACTGGAAACTGAGTACCCTGAATGTACTGGGTATGTATTGGAAACTAAGACCCCATTTCCAGAGATTAGATTGATCTACTTTAGATCGACCTAACTCCCTGGGGGTTCACGCTAAATAGCTGTCAGCCGGGCAGACACGAAAGTTAATTACCCCCTTACAGCTTGTAGTAGGCGGGACGGACATTTAAGCCGGATTATCTGACAGTAACCTAGTGAGACTCCCCGCGGGGATAGATCGATCTAAAAGCTCTGGGAATACAGCCTAAGCCACCACACTTTAGTTAGGGGATAGGTGCAGCGTTAAATCTAATACGCAGCTTAAAATTTGTAGCAAATAGTATGAAAATCTCTCTTAAAACATGAGAATTTAAAAAAAATAAGTATCAGCTCCAAAATTTTTTTTTTCTTTAACAAAGATATGCCATACATAATAGCAGATGTTGGAAGTGCAACCTACTGGTTTGGCAGTGTGATATTAGTGAGATGGGGATAAGCAGTTTTAACAACACAAATGACTGCTATCAGCAGTCTGATATCAAGGCAATAGACACAGAAAGTGAAAACCTCTGGCTAGACCTGTTATATAACTAACACAGGGGAAGAATGCCCTTATCTTCATGGTACATGTATTGGCCCAGAGCTATATCTTACAGCAGTCCTCTTGAGTGAGTGTGTGCGTGCGCGTGCATGCATGTGTGTGTGTGTTTGTCCTCATACTTATCTTTTTTACCTTTAAATGGTTTGAAAATACTTCAAACTTGGGCCATGATATCAGAAAATCTTTTTCCTAGCATCTTCAGTTCTCTAGTAGTTCAGAAGTGTGGTGGTCTCTGTGGGTTTTATACATGTATATTGAATTTGATAACAGTTGGGCTTTGTAACAGCCCATTAAAACAAATCCTAAGAGATTTAGAAGGCAAAGGAGATAGCTGAGATGAAAGGTCTAGTTGTTGTAGTCTATGGTATACAGTGTATTACTGAGATTGGTTTTCTATGAAGATAATTGAATTAGGATGTGTGGATGGTGACTTTGGAAAAGGCAATCACTGAAGTGGTATCTTTTTACTGGTAAATGTCTTCTATTGTTGTAAGTATGGGCATTGTCTACTCTGGGTGAGTTATGGGTGGAAGCAAGGAGTACAAAGAGATAGCTTGGGGTAAATTTTGATGGAAAGAGTACTGTAATCTTTCTGTTGTTGAACTCTCAATACTTGGATTAGCCTCTAATTTAGATTAAGTGATAGATGTGGTGTCTCTTTATTACATAGTTTTCAGTCATTTATCCCCAGGTAGATATTTTAGTTCTAGACCCAGGCTAAAGATGGTTTTGGCCGACACAAGGAAGGACTGTTTTCATAACCTTTGCAATTTTCAGAAATTGATATTTTTTTAATGAGGAAGAACTTTAACCCAGCCTGTGTCATGGTAGAGAACCCAGTGCCTTGCTCAGATACTTACTACACCTTGTCAGTCCCAGGTGAGCAGCTTTGTCTACAGGCAGGTAGAGGTCAGGGGTCAGTTTACAGCCTGCTTATGACAAATAGACGGAGAAAGTGAAACCTCTGATGATTCATGTAACTTTTAATCATCAGATTTCTATATCACACTCCAAGTCAAGTAATGTCCAGTTTGTAGTTTTACTGACCAGAGTGTAAGCCAGTAGATCACACGGTTTACTGAATTTTGATTTAAGAAAATTATAAACTATCCAGCAGTTAAGATAAGGTATGCACAGGTAAGCATTTAATGTTGTTTAAAAATTGATTTTTTAAATTTTCTATTGATTATTTGATAAAGTAATCATCAACAATATCCTCTTTCATCATGTAATCATGGAAATAGGAGTGTCTATGCTTGCTATCTGGAGGGTTTTTTAACTCGTTGAAAGTTAAAACTAAAACTGCTGACTTCAGTACATGACTGGCAGATACAGCTAGACAGTCACTTCTTAGGGCCACCTGTAAGATAACAGATGATGGGTGTGTTGCATAACTTGATTGATTGCTTTACATCGTGCTGCTGTATTTAATCCTAAGGTTTGCTGCAGAGATAAAAGAAGAAAAGAACATTAGCCAAGTGTTATAAATGAGAGCGGAATTTTGTGCTGATATGGTATTTCCTTGTCTTCTTCTAGTCCTCATTGTTTTAGATTATCAGTATTTTATTGATGTAATTTATAAAACTTCACAGGGAATCATAGCTGTGTATGTATATGTTTAGAGGGAGTGTTTTCACCCTTCACTGCTGTAGGTAAAGTGAAAATTTTCAGATCTTATCAGACAGGGATAATGGAGATAAATGATGGTTGAAACAGTACAGCTAATGAAGGTTGCCTTAGTAACAGGCCTAAGGTGTCACAGTGGGTGGGAGGCGAGGAGCTTGAGATGAGGGAGAGAGTGAGAGAGATGGCAGAGGTTCCTGTCATTTTACTACACTTAACTTTCAGCGGGTGAGTTTTTGTCCTTAGTCTGATTTGATTTGAATTTAAATTTCAAAAAAACTGTCTCACAGAACAGACTCTTTCAGCTAGACCTCGAGGAACCGCATTATAATAGTTTGTGATAATTTAGTACAGTAAAACTTTCAAAGAAAGCTTTAAAAGAAAAGCAGCCTGATGTAATAGTATCTCCCCAACAGATCACTCAGTACACCTCAGTCTGGTTCTGTGGACTTGTGTTCTTTGTATCAATGTTATGTACAGAGTCAACAGCAAGGAAAATGCTGGCAAAAAGTAACATTCTGATCAATGTTGTCCAGACAATATGTAAACAACCCTCAGTGACACCTGTTGTTAACAGCTCAATTTACCATGTGTCAACTACTGAGGATAAAAAAGTCTCTGTTATTGTTTCGTTGTTTGCTATGTGGAAAGAGTATGTTGGCGTCAGCTGCTTTTGCAGGAAGTATGTCTAAGTGTTGTCTGTTTGGCAAAGTTCTTTGTTTTTTAAGTTCCATTTCTCATTGAGTAATGTTGGATGAAATTATTTCGTTCTAAAAACTTGAAAGAACATTTCTCCTTTCAGTGTTGTTTTTATGCTTTTTCAGGGTGCTATTACAATGAACTTTTCTAATGTGGAAACCAAAACTAGGAAGTGTACATTGAAGTTCCAAGGCTAAATATTATTTGTATCATGGAATATTGAGCCCAGTTTATAGAAAAAAAAATACTGCAGTGTTTTTGGGCTGGTGTATGAAAGTATTTTAGGATTTCTGCTATTATGGGGTGCAGAACAAGTTGCATTTTAGTGGTATTCCTTTGTAAGACTCGTCTTGTTAGTATTCCTATATGGCAGTGCTTGTAATTGCACAGAAGTGTGTCTGGTTCTTCTCCAGCACAATGTCAGCAGCTTCTCTAACACAATCAAGATCACAGTCACCTCCACTGCTCCTCACAAATTGTGTATAGTACCAGCTAGGAATATGACAACATTTCTGCAGTGGATTGGGGAATTTGCTGTGGTGAAGTTGTAATTGAAGTATATAATTGAGAAATATTTGAATGTTTAACCTAGGGTTGTGTGGTGATGATTACTGGCTTGAATAAAATATTCTCTGAAGTGAAAGATGATACTAGATTAAATATTGAATATCTTAAATAAGGCTTCGTTCACATGCAATGTCTAATTTCTAAAAATCTATTTTCTGTTCGCGCTATCTTATGATCACGGTCTGTGCCCTGAATATCCCGCCGCGTAATTACTGGCAGCGCGAGCCAGTTACTTATAGTAACTTATAGTAACTGGTCGCGCTGCTAGTAATTACGCCGTGGGATATTCAGGGCACAGACCGTGATCATAAGACATACCGCGAATAGAAAATAGATTTTAGAAAATAGACATTGCATGTGAATGAAGCCTTAGTGCCAAGGGAAAATGATACAATTAATGTTTGTTGCATATTTCCTAACTTACCAAGTCTGTGGAGTAATGAATGTTCGTTGAAGTCACAACAAGTGGCACATTAGCCCAATTTTACAAAAATAATAAATCAGCTAATGTCCACAAAAGAGACTAGAACTTGGTAAAATGCACGTCTTGGATTGTTACTTGTAAGGTGTTTCCTCAAGAGTGGCCCCTTATGTTAAGTTGTAGCCCTGATCATGAATGAGCATGGATTATGCTATAACTATATGAGCTACTGTGTGAACACTGCAATGTAATTGGTTAGTTCTTTCCTCAAAAGGGGCCCCTGTGATCCAAGCTATAGCCCTTATCATGGATAAGTAATGTGTATACTGTAACATAGATATAACAGTGCAGTAAATATACATTAAGTCCAGACAGTCCCAGTGGCGACTTAGATCAATGGTGCTGTATTCTACCTTCATTGATAGATGTGTGTATCCATTCTCTCCTCATTCACAGACAGTGGAGTTAGCTGCTCTGTTTAGCTTTCTTATGCCAGTCTTCTTTCTAACCAAATGCTCCTATGTATATGTACTATAGGAAGTAGATTATTATACCAGGAAAATTCCATGAACTCTGGGATATGATTGGAAGCTGATATAGTTGTCAGGGATCCAACAACTCAGCAAGTAGTGTGTCAGTGTGTTTGGAAAAGATTTCATCTGATCCTGCTACTATTTAATATCGGACTGCTTCGTTAATCTGGCGATGATGGTGTTGAATGGCTAGAAAATATGGGCTGGAATTGAAGAAGATGATGTATTCATTTATATCAAGTCTCTAGATTTGATGGATTATATTGTGTTTGCTTACATAGGAAACCCAGGATTTTTCACAATCATCTTCAGAGGCAAAATCGAGATTACTGTCTTGTGCAGGAATTGTTGTGTATCAAGCGTCATATGAAAGCGAACACAGACATACTGCACTTAGTCTAAGGCCTGACTATCAGGCTGTACTATAGTAGACATTTATTTTATATTATTTTCTGATCTGTGAGTGACTCTTGGCTTCCCACAGTAGTCTATGTGTATCAGAAGGATCCAGATCTCGCCATGCATGTGTTTACTATGATGTTTCAGAAAAGGTTAGTAGTATGATGGCAGCACGCACAAAGGAGAGGAGTCAAGATTTAAATAGGGATAATAGTCCTGAAATGCGAATAAATTGTTGTGGTGGTTTTCTTGGAGCCTGCTTTTAAATTTATAACTTAAATCAGAAAGTTGAAATTAGATAAATGTTTATAGTCTGATAAAATTGAAATGAAAGCAAAGATTTTGACATTAAGATAAGGTAATAATTATCTGGTTATCTTTTCTCCATATATCTTGTAGCTATATATATATGTGTGTGTGGTGGGTGTTTGCTGATGATATATATACACAAAGGGCTATGCCTTATTTTTAGGTGCACATATTTCTATATTTTATACAGAAGTATAAGGTATGTCCTGGTAAGAAAGTATCAGCTCGTAGGAAAATTTTTTAAGAACATGAACAACTTGACTCAGTCCGACCTTGAATTGTCAGTAAAAGTCCCGCTGAGACTTTGACATGTTCTAGCACATGTTCTAACTTGTTTATAAATGATTAGATTTTTTTTCGGCATCCAAATTCTGGTTGCTATGTTGTCAGCTGTGTCCAGTGATTCAGTGATGTGCTGTATGCAAGCATGTACTGAATGACTTGTCAAAATTCTAAGTCAAATTCATCTTTATTTACCAGGGATAATTTTTTCCAACTATTATTTACCAGGGATGAGATTTTTTTGCCTATTGGTGGATTTTTGACTTTTTGGTAGCCAAAAAGTCTTTGGCCTAGACTAGGTGTCCCCAACACCATTTTTTCAACTTTTTCACTAAATACCAGTCTTATTTATGGATGAATTATGGATGAATTACTAACTGAGAGACATGCCTGCAATGAAAATATATATGTTTATTACATTCAATTATATTTCAGTAATTGATGGTGGGAACGGGAGGAAATATTTTGCTCCAGAACTTCACTGTTCCCCATGATAATGAAACATTTCCCTGTCCTCAGTTGACCCTAGTATTCAGTCCATTAAACATTAAAAGCATCAACACTGTAATCTAATCATACCAGGTAAAAGTACTTTAAGTCCATTAAAGTTTTCCCATTTTGAGCACTTTAATCCTCCCCCCCCCCCCCATCCCCACGTCCCATGTCACTATGTTGCCCCTGCGTCTGTGTCTTAATCAAAGTAGACGTGGCAGTGAGGCAGTAAAGTGACGAAGGGCAGCTAGGGCCAAGGAAATGTTATGGGAAATTATCTCACTAAGGCTTGGGTTATTGCTACAAGAACTTGTACAAACTGCTGCAGATCAGCTGAATTTTTCTGCTATTTTAGATTTATTTTTGGAAATATGGTCATATATTCTTTGGGGTGTTTGGGAAAGTTTTATCTTGTCTGGAACCAAGTAATTAAATGAAATCTGAAAGTTTTGTTTAAATTTTCAAGTTGATTAGATTTATTTTTGGTAAAGTGGGGAGTATTTGATATAAAATAAATCTTTAATGTTTTCTGACTAATGCCAAGTTTAAAACCCATGTTTTTTCCCAACATTGAGCTGACTCATTTCCAACAAAAAATTAGCATTTCAAGGAAAAAAGGGATCTAAGTTTAGGTAAGTTCAGTTACATTCCAGACTAGGGGATATAAAAACATGTAGTAAAGTAAAAGTCAACAGGTTGCGCTGGTAAATCACTGATTTTTTTTTCATGGTTTGTTTTTTTCTTTTGCACAAAAAATATTTTATTTGTATAGGATTGGAACAAAGAAATTGGGATTTTCTTGATATCACTTTTACTGGGTCAGTTTCACATTAACTTTTCACTATTTATTTATTTATTTATTTATTTATTTATTTATTTATTTATTTATTTATTTATTTATTTGTCTTATTGTTTAGAAAAATACTTTCATGTTCAAAGTCCATTCAGAAAGTTGCTATGTAACAAAAAATATGTTATATTAATAGGATTGGAACAAAGAAATTGGGATTTTCTTGATATCACTTTTACTGGGTCAGTTTCACATTAACTTTTCACTATTTATTTATTTATTTATTTATTTATTTATTTATTTATTTATTTATTTATTTATTTGTCTTATTGTTTAGAAAAATACTTTCATGTTCAAAGTCCGTTCAGAAAGTTGCTATGTAACAAAAAATATGTTGTTATATTAATAGGATTGGTACAAAGAAATTGGGATTTTCTTGATATCACTTTTACTGAGTCAACTTCACAAATAGCTTTTCACTATTTATTTATTTATTTGTCTTATTATTTAAAAAAAATACTTTCATGTTCAAAGTCCAGTCAGAAGGTTGCTATAATTTTCTTGTTTCCTTTTTTTTCTTTCATTTCCACTCCACCCAAGATTGGATGGCATTGCTATGTGTGGAAGTCTGTAAATATTTCATCTGTTCTACCTTCTTTCCTCATATTTATCCACATAGTTCAGATGGTTGGTTGTATGAGTTATGTTTTAAGTATATTGGTGTATTGGCATATAT